AATTCATAGCTCTCATGTCGCCTTTTCAAGGCGATGTCGCTTGTCGGAATTTACCCCTAACAGGGTCTCTCTTATGTCGATAAACAGCTTATGTTGTTGCTAACGCGCAGATGATGTATTAAAAAGGTGATTATGTTAGGCCACGATTTGGGAAAAATTAAATAAGCGCGCCCCCCTCAATTAAGTGCCCCCCTCGAATAAGCGCCCCGTGTCTTCTTCTAAATTTGAAATAAGCGCCCCGGGCGCTAATTCGAGGATTTACGGGGACTATCATCGAGGGGAGAGATTCTCAGGTTTCATAACGGCCAGAAAAGAGACAAGTCTCTTTTCTCCCCGGTGAGAGTTAATAGTTAACGACGTTAATCGAAACTTGAGACGTAATTGGAGCGTCATTTGAAGAGTGTGTCCACGAGAACCAGGAAGGAGGTGATACAGCTCTAATCACCGATTTCGCTCAAACTTGGCACAAACGTTGGGTTTGGTGAGTTAATGACTATGGCAAAAATTTAGATCAAAATATTTTATTCCCTTCAAGTTAGGGAGATCCCCTCCAAAAATGGCCGTTTGTCACTAATTTATGCATATTTAATTAGCTGTCTTTGATATAGTATTTCTACAACAAGAAAGGCCATGTGAAAATGAAATCCACTGGATCATGTTCTGCTATTGTCGGTCTCAGAGCATAGATATTCATTTGAACTAGACAATTTGTTTTCTCTCCGTGTCTCCATCTTAAGTAATGTGCATATTTCGTAGTGTTGTGAGTAGCCTTTAATTGATGGCAAATATCTGCACTGGGCAACAGCAAATACACATTATTCTAACATGAATAAAGAGAGCAATCACTAAAGTTCTCAAAAAAGCCATAAAATGTTTGGGGACTTCAATATTTTTTCTGTGCTGGCATACTGTTTACATAGGACTTTATGATTTTTGGCCATTTCATCAACATCCACTAAAACACAAAAGCCATTTTTGCTGATGGATGAGTAACATCCATGAGCTTACGAGGCAGTCGGATGGCGCTCGATCACTCACTCACTCACTCGATTCTAACTAATTTATTCATTAAACCTGGATTAAACAATTTTCTCCTACCTCCCCTGTTAAGTATTGTTTTTGTCCAACAGTGTTCAGTCGTCTTCAAGAAGGTTGTTTGACGAGGGGGGACCAGAAAGGGGTACATTTTTGCCCGATAAATCGAGAGCCTGGGTACGAGTTTGTCGAACACCTTGAAGATTGAAGTCAGCCATTTTGGTTTCATGTGATTTTCTCTCGTAAATATGTTGTTTTTTGCCTATCAG